GGAAGGAGAAAAAGACTCAATCAGGACCCTTCATGGGCTGGAGGACTCAGGGGGACCCCCTCCCCATTGATAGCCCATAATAGGTTGCATTATCTTCACTTATAGCCCCTCCAAGAACAGAAGTTCCCATAAACGTTCCTCAAGGGGCCCCTCTTGGCCACCTGCTAAGCTTGAGGAGAGGCCTCCCCTAGAGGGTCCCCTCCCCACCACCTCTCCTCCAGTCCCCCAGACTCACCTTTCTTGCTCTTCAGGTAGGAGAAGAGCCCCACAGCCAGGAAGGCCACTCCTATCACGGCCCCCATGATCCCCGTCCAGAGTTTGCTCCTGGCAGAGCTGGAGGAACGGGGCTCTGGGGAAGGAGAAGGAGCCTCACCTGAGCAGGAGGATCAGGCCCACCTTCCCCCAGGAGGGTCCATTCTGGTTCCCCCCACAGGGAGGGTCTCTCCCCCTTCTCAAGGCAGGGTGGGGTCCCCAGACCGGGAGGGAAGAAAGGGGAGGGGAGGGGCTTACCCCACTGGACGGTGATGGGGGCCTCCAGGCTGGCGTGCTCCACCTTGCAAGTGTAGACGTCCCCCCGTTGGGGCTGGGTCTCCAGCATCACCTGGAGCTGGTAGGTCCAGTCTCCGTTCTGGAGCTCCTCCCCAAAGGCCACGCCCTCCTCCTCCAGCCGCCCGTTCTTCAGCCACTGGACCTCGATCTCCACGGGGTAAAAGCCGGTCGCGGTGCAGAGGAGGATGGTATTGGGGGAAGAGGGCTCCATCTTGGTGGGGGAGATGGAGACGGTGGGCTTGGCTGGAGGGAAGGAGGAGAAGGAGGCACATGAGACACTTTTGAGGGTCTGTGGAGATTTTCAGTCATGCAGGTCATGGTTCTCCCAAAGGGGCTTTTTTTCCAAAAGGCAACTGGATTTTGTTTTTCCTTGAAGACATTTCGCTTCTCATCCGAGGAGCTTCTTCAGTTCTGACTGTCCCAGTTGAAGCTTCTTGGGTGAGAAGCAAAAGGTCTTCAAGGGAAAACAAAGTCTATTTGCCGTCTGAAGAAACTCCTGTGGGACGGTGTTTGGAGTCCTCTTCCAAAGCGAATGGCAGCAGGGAATGAAAAGGGATCCTGAAAAATGGGAAAACCTAAATCCTTCCGGTTGGGATCAGGTGATCTCATCCAAAGGGAAGAATCCTCAAAATAGGCAAATCCGACAGCAGAATAAGAGAATAAGAGAGTTGGAAGGGACCTTGGAGGTCTTCTAGTCCAGCCCCCTGCTCAGGCAGGAAACCCTCCACCACTTCAGACAAATGGTTGTCCAATCTCTGCTTAAAGACCCCCAGTGATGGAGCCCCCACGATCTCTGGTGGCAAGCAGTCCCACTGGTTAATTCTCCTCACTGTTAGGAAGTTTCTCCTTAGTTCCAGGTTGCTTCTCTCCTTGATGAGTTTCCATCCGTTGTTTTTTCTCTCAGTCAAAATGAAGCCACATTTTTTAAAATTAGGTGTAATATTGGAATATTTATTTACTTATTAAAAGTATTTGTCAGCCATCTTATGATGAAATGTCTCTAGGCGGTTTACAGAATTAAAACATTACAATCCTCACATAAATGTTTCCATAGCAACAAAACTGGAACTCCCAATCGAGATAAAATCCTAGGGAAAAGAAGGGGAGGGGGAAGAGGAAGTGTTGGGGGAGGGGAGATTGCCTCTTAATTCAACAACCACCTTCAGTGTGAGGCTCCCCATGAGGGTCTCAGGTCATCCAGCAGAGCCAGGTCTCCGGCTTCTAAAGGGGGGGCATCCCACCTCGGGGGGGGGACCAAGTGTTCCAGGGGGAGGAGCCACGGGAAAGAAGGCCCTTCTCCTGGACCCCCAGCTGGAATTCCTTGACCAAGTGGGTCAAGGTGAGGTGGGCCAGGCCCAGTGGGGTGAAAGGGTCCCTGAAGGAGCCTGGACTCAGGCCGTGCAGGGTTTGGGAGGCCACGGCCAGCACCTTGACTTGCACCTGGAAGGAGACTGGCAGTCGGTGCACCTCACGGAGCAGTTGTGGCACATGGGTCCCCTTAGTGACTGCAAAAATGGCTCATGTGGGGGCAATAAGCTGACTTTGTATAAAAAAGAACACCGCTTGTGGGGGGGGGGCAAGCCATACTAAGCAGGTATATACAAAAGTATGAAGGCTATTGCTTAACACATTGTAAGCCGCCCTGAGTCTCCGGAGAAGGGCGGCATATAAATTTAACCAATAAATAAATTGAACCAATAAATTCCTGGGGGAGGAGGTGGGGAGGGGTCCGACTTCTTGATGGCAGCCTCTGCCTGGATTGGGGACGGCAGGGGTAGGGATCTTTAGGGGGAAAGGGAAGGTGGGGGCAGTAGGAGCCTGAGATCAGGCAGAACCCAGGATCACATCTGAGCCTTGGAGAGGATCCCTCTTGATCTCCTCCTTCCCCAAATGCTCCCACTGGCACAACTCTTGGACGGATTAATGGGGGGGGCGGTCTGGGTGACTATTTGTTTGAACAAAAATGCAAATTCTGGATGAGAAAAAAATCTTTAAGCAAGAAAATGGATGGAGCAGATTTAAATCCGTGGAAATTGAAAAGTTTGAATTTGGCATTTTTATTGAAAACATCTTCAATTCATATAGATTATTTTTAGTAGGTAAACAAGGAGACTATCAAGTGGCAGGAATAATTTTTATGGCCCAACCCAAAATAAATTTAATTTTATACAAAAATGTACTATTAACATTTGGTGGTTCCAATTGGATCAGATGAGAGTTGCTGGAGAAAGGTTTTAATTCAATTATGCATCCACTGTTGGATCAGAAGAAGATCTTTTCTTCTTTTTAAACACCCCTCCCCCCCCCAGACACACAACTTTCTCCTTCTGTCCATCCAGGAATTTAGTTTAATCAACATTTGGAGACCTCTCAACTTCAAACAGCAGGAATACACAATACATTTTGTCTGCCTCACACTGTGATATTCAAGATTTATTTTTAATATCCCCTTTGATGCCTAATGCAGTAAAAAAATGGGACCCAGAATTACATTTTTCTTTCTGGTCAAGAACATATAGATTCAATGCTGATTTTGGAAGATTTGGGATAAAAGTATTGCCATTAGGGAGATGCTCCTTTGTTCGGGTCCATTGAATATAGATAAAGTAACAGAAGTGAGGAAATTTCCATGTTAAATATTGCTGGAATGAGAATTATTTCAAATGTGCCAGACAACAAGAATGTTGAATTGATAGTAAGAAATAATTAAATCTTGAATATTATCAATCAGGGGATTATTATCTCCAGGGAAACATCCTCTTTGGAGGTAAAGATATTTCAAACCATCTCTCAAATTGGAGAGAATATCGTTTATTTCTTTACTAAATTATATGCACCAAGACAAATTCCTTGTGTGTCCAATCACACTTGGCCAATAAAGAATTCTGTTCTATTCTATTCTAAATTCCAATATCCTATTCCAGGGATGTGATCCTCCTCCTAGCTTTGCTGGGAAGAATTTAGGAGTGAAAATGAGTTTTACCTCCAAATTAAATATCTGGAGAATAAAATCTCTGTCGGTTCTCCTGAAATGTTCAATAATTTAGGGAAGGAGCGAAAGGATCTCCCTCTAAAAAATCTTTCTCTCTTAGGATGGGCTGTTTTTTTTTCTCTTATGGAAGAAATATCTTATTTAATTCTGTGGCAAGAGATTATGTTTCGAGAGTTTCCTGGGCTCCCAATGGGAAGCTGAGATTTAGGCAATTCTTAAGTGGGGATGCTTGAAAGATTTTTCCATCAAAGGGGTAAAATTTCCCTGGAAAGGCCGAATTGCAAAAAGTGCAGCTGAAATCCTTGATTTCCACAATGCTTGGCCTGTGAGTCTCTTATCAATTGAGAGAAATAAATAAAATTATGATTACACAGAGAATGTAAATTACAAAAACAAATCTAGGCAATTTGCAAGGAATCTGGAAGAGAATTAAACAATCCCTGCTTCAGAGTTGAATGGAAGGAGGATGTGTTTCTTAGGACCCAAAATTCAGATTTAAGGTTTGTGGGAGTTTTTGGAGTCTCCCCCACAAATCCGGAGCCTCCCCAGGAAGGAAGACGGAAGGGATTTGGCTGCAGGGGAAGCCGAGTCTGTGACCAAAAAGGGGGCTTCAAGGGGGGCTTTTCTCTCAGACCCCCAAAATCGGCTGAAGGAAATTTCTCAGCCTCTGAATCAGCTTCTGCTCAAGGCAGAGGAAACGCCAGACCAGGATTCCGCCTGATCTGGGTTTGATTCACAATTATAAATTCTATCTGGATTGATTGATTTTATTCTTTAGTTTATTTATTGCTACTATTAGTTTATTATTTATTCTATTATTTAGTTAGTTTATTATTTAGTTAATTTCTTTTATTATTTAATTAATTTATTATTATTCTTTCTTTCTTTAGTTTATTTTATTAGTTATTTATTTTATTTATTAGTTATTTATTTTATTTATTAGTTTTTTATTTATTTATTTAGCTTTTCATTTATTTATTTAATTTATTTATTTAATTTTATATATTTGTTTATTTTACTTACTTACTTATTTATTTATTGGATTGAAAAGATGCCGGAATGGAAATGACTCAGAATAAAGAATAGAGAGAAGTGAGACCAGGAGAGAAAGGATTTCATGGATTCCCTTTGAAGATTCTTTTTTTTTAAAATCCTAAAATCCCAAAGGCCCCAGAGGGGGAGAGAGCCCCCCCCCCTTATTGGCCTTCTGGAAAGGGCTCCCAAGGGGGCTCTGGGGCTTTGCTGGGGGGGGGGGCAGAGAGGGGGAGGCAGCCTGAATCCCCTGAAGCCTTTTAATTAGTCTCTTCATTAATTCATTGATTTTTCCACTGAATTGGAGTCATCCTGGCTTTTGAAACAACCACGAAATCTTCATCCGGGAGAGTCTCAATCATGGGAAGGAAAAGGGGGTCCCCTCCCCCAAACTCCCCCCCAAACTCTCCCCCCCCCACAAACTCACCTCTCCGGCCAACCACAGACATCCTCTGGAGAATCCCGTAGTTGTACCGGCAGAAGGGATCCACTTCAGCCTTCTTGATCTGCAGGAGGAGCTCATCCCTGTTCCACCTGTCCACATCGGGTTGCGCCAACGGAGTGACGGCCACGTATTTCCCGAGGTCGCTGTCGAAGTAGTCGGTCTCCTGCCGGTCGTAGAAGCTCCTCTGCAGGAGCCTCACCCGCTGCGTCCCGTTGAGGAAGCGGCACTCGGACTTCACCTGGGCCAGGAAATGGGCTGCGAGGGGGAGGAAGGCCGTCAGGAGGGACTCCAGGGCCCATCGCTCCCAGCCACTAGTAGAAGAGGGGGGGCGGGGCGGGGGACCTTCCGAGAGAGACTGGGGGAAGACGCCCCCTGGAGGAGGGAACGGGAACTCTCTCAGTCCCAGAGAGAAAGGGAGGCTTCCTGGGGGGGTCTGGGGTGGGGGGAAGAAAGTGGGAGGGTGGAGAGGGACCTCCTCCAGCGTCCCACGGAAGAAAAAGGCAGGCAGAAGCTCAACTGGTCGGGCAGATCTCCTCTCTGCAGGGAAGGTTGGATCTCAAGGGGCAGGAATTGGGGGGGGGAGGGCCGGAGGGAAAGTAACGTCCATACCCCCCCCACTCTCTCTTCCTTTGGGAGGGGATATGGGGGAGGGGACACAATAAGGACATCTACACTGACTCTCCCGGGGTCTCCCAGCCATTCGAACCCCCACCTTCCCTGGGTCCCCCCAGCTTTTCTTCTTCCCCCCAATCTTCAGCCCAACTCCCTCCCTTTGGAGGATTCTCGGGGATCACCCCTGTTTCCTCTCCCCCTCCCCAAAAAGACCCCCTGCCACCCCTGTACCTAAAAGGGAGGGTCTCCAGCCCCCTTCGCAAAGGGGAGCCCCCAATCTCCTTCTCCCTCAGTACTCCCCCCTCCCCTCCAGGTCCCGATACAGCAGTGGGAGATTATGGGGGCTGGGGTGTTCTGTGTCTCCTCCCCAAATTCAGGGTCTCTCCCAGAAGGGCCCGAAGCCCCCCTCTTGCCTGACCTTCAAAGCGTCAAATCTGAGATTGAGAAGAAAAAGTGAAGTTTCTGAAGAAGCCCAAAGACTTTTGCTCAAATGCCTCTTTTCCCTTCTGGGGATTCAGGGCTGAAAATGCCTCAGTTTCCCTCTTTCGCTTTTCCTCCCTTCCTCTTTCCCTGCAGCCCCCTCCCACCCAGGCACAGGAGAGGCTGCGACCCCCACCTGGGCTACATGGGGGAAGGGTTAGGATTAGGGTCCCTCTCCGTCCTCCTGGGGGGGGGGCTGTGGGGAGGAAGGGAGAGGAGACCACGCAGAGATCAAGGCTGCTGGAGGCTCTGGGGACCCATCGGCTTCCTTCCCCCTTCCCAGCCCCCTCCTCCCCCGCCCAGCCCCTCCTTACCGGGGGTCTCCTGCCCCCCTTCGCTCCCGGGGATCCGGGCCAGCGCCCCCAGCAGCAGCATCAGGGGGAGCCCAGCCAAAGCCATGGAGGCTCCCCACAAGCGCCCCAAACGGGGGAGAAAGACGCTCCCAGCCCCAGAGGAGGAATCGGAGGGTCTGGAGGGGGGGAGGAGGTTTCCTGGGACTTCGGAAGAGGGAGAGTCCAGAAAGAGCAGGAGGACCAATGGGAATCCTCCCTTCTGCAGCGTCATCGGTCTCCGGGCAGAGCCTCCCTTGACTTCGCCCGATGCAGGAGAGAGTTCCGCGCAGAGAGAGAAGCGGAGAAAGTGGGGGAGGGGATCCCTTCAGTCTTGGGGGGCTGCAATCTGGGGGGTCTTTCATGCCAGCTCCGTCTTCCTTTTGCCCCCCTCCCCCCTCCATGATTCTCCTCCAATCTCCCTTTCTCTGGGAGCCTGGACTGGAGAGGTGGACTAGATGCCCTTTGAGTTCCCACAGTGCCCAGAAGGAGCCTAAGCTGAATCAGCCGAGAGTCCAGAAGGGCAAAGTGGATCCAGAGCTCGAGGGGTCCTTCGGGGCTCAGAAGGGGAGGAGGGACCCCCAGCAGCTGCCCTGGATGACAAGGGGGGAGGGGCAGCCCCACAGCCAGCCAGGACTTGGGGGTCACACGCTCCCCCCAATCCGAAGGGAAGCCAGGAAAACCCTCAGCTGACAGTCCAGGCAGGATCTGCAGGGATCCCTCCTAATCCAGCCGGATCCTTCCCCTTCACGGGGGAATCTCTGTAGGGATCTCTTGGCTTTACAAGAGAAAAGGGCGATTCCCTTCCTTGCAACACGCGTCTCCCTTGCTGAGAACGTCTGGACGGACCGTCTCCTTCAGATTTCCCGCCCCTGAACCACAAATGTGTAGGAATCTCCCTCTTCCTTTCTCTCTGTGGGTCGGGATCAGTGGTGGGATTTTTTTAACAACCGATTCTGTGGGCGTGGTTTAGTTAGGGGTGTGGCTAGCTGGTCATGTGACCGGGTGGGCGTGGCTAGCTGGTTATGTGACCGGGTGGGCGTGGCTATCTACATAGGGACTACAGAGGGCTGAAAAAAGTCATTTCTGACTCGTCCTCGCACTTATGACCATCCTCACATTTTTGCCCGTTGTGGCATTCTTAACAACCATGTCACTCATTTCACCACTGCTTCTCTTCACCACGGTGACAAGATAGGGCGTAAAATGTAAAATGTGAGGACAGTCGTAAGTTCAAGGACTGGTCAAAAGTGCAAGGACCAGTCAGAAATAACTTTTTCAGCCCTCTGAGTAGTCCATATGCACAAAAGGATACAGCAATAGAGTGGGATGAAGGAAGGAGAAGAGAGATGGAAGAAAGAAGGAGAGAGAGGGAAGGAAGAGAAGGGAGGAAGGAAGGGAAATTAGAGTAGGAGTGAGGGTAAGAGAGGGAGGAAGAGAGGAGGAGAAGGAGAAAGGAAGAGGAAGTAGGGAGGAGAAGAAGCGGGGAGGAAGAGAAAGTAAGAAGGAAAGAAAAGAGAGAGATGGTAGGTTTGAGGAGAAAGATTGCTGTACAGTAAAAAAGATGAAATGGAAGAAAGGCAACCCCAAACAAATATAAAGATATTAAGATAAAGGATGAATTGTTAAACTTTAAAGAATAAAAGAGAACAAATAGGAATAAATAGCAATAATTAGAAACACACATACAAACATACAATGTATTTTCTTTGAACAGAGTATTTGGCCGGTTCACAAATTTAAACAGTATTTAATCATTTCAATTAAATTTACAATTTCTATATTTCCTTTTTGCCATATTTAGTCCTCATCTATTTTTTAAAAAAACCAATATTACCCTTCATCCTCATCTCTAATCTTAATCAAATTCAATTTTTCCCTTCTATTCTATTTTATACCCCTTCCCATTGTCATCTATTTTTATATCCATCCTCACATTGGTTAATTATGTAATATTACAGTTGTTTAATATGAATTCAACATTTTAATATAAATCAATTAGTTATATAACTATCTTTTTTGTATATTAATCAATATGAACATGAATATTCCAATTATTTCCATGCCATCCAATTTCTTACAAATCAATTAATTATATTTACCAATAATAATAAACCAAATAATTTCCCCCATATATTCCTCCAAACCACAACTTAACCATTTCTGCTTTCAACACAATATACAATTAATAGTATCTCAATTATTACAATTCCCTAGTTAAATAGAGCTTTTTTCTTTTGTGTTTTAAAATCTTGAACTCTTCTCTTTTTCCCTAAATTTCCCATTGTTTGCACCTACCTTTTTTGGTGAGGAAAAAGAAAAGAAATCTGCCTGCCTAATTTTCCAACGTTGCAGCAACAGCAAAGCCAACAGCCTGCTTTACTTTCAGTTTCGTTTTTCAGCATAGCTAGGGGGGAAAAAAATCTGCTCTTTGCAAGCAAGCAGCAGAGCCCTGAGCAAAACAGCTGAGAGCAAATCAGCTGAGAGTCGGGAGGCCGATCTAATCAAGGGGCTAATTAGCCTATGCTGAAGCTCCGCGGGCCAATAAAATTACAAAAAAACACCGAACCGTTTGTTAAATTGCTGGCTCGCCCGCCCCTCGCCCACCACTATTTATTGGCAATAGAAGTAATTTTGCCATCTGATTGTGCAGATCCTGATGAGATTTGGATATTTTGGCTGTGGAACAGGAAGCGCCCCTAAAACAAAAGCCTCCTTTTTATGATGTTCCATGAAGATTATAAGGGCATAAAATAGAAAATAAAAGTAATAAGGAATTGGGAGAGGGAAAGAAAGGGGAAGGAGAAGTGGGAGATAAAGGGCAAAAGGAAAAAAGAGAGGAAAAAAACTTTCCCCCAGCTCAATAAAATACAAAGTGAAATTGTAGTCTCTGTTTTTATTTCTTCTCTAAGTAAATATTCACCATTTCTATACCAACAACTTAATTTAGTCAGTAAATCCCAAAAGTCCAGATTTCATTTTTTTTCTGCACAAAGTTCAGAAGGGACTTCCAGGTAGGGTTAGGAATAAATCTATTCTTTCCTCTGGTCAAAAAGTTTATTTTGCCATTTCTGCCACATTTTTCATTTCATCACTTCGTCCATCCCTTTGTGTGTGTCTGTTCTGGTGTTTGAGGGCACCTCATGGTGGAGTTTTGCGTAAGGAAAATCTGGCTGAAATTTCAAGGCTTTCCTTCGTCTGGAGCACGGAGGCCCTGCAGGGAGAGTTTGAGGGCGGTTCGATTTGTTTAGAAATGACTTTTTTGTAAAGAAAATGGAAGAATTAAAGGGTTTTTAGAAACTGGGGTGGGGGAGGGGTTCAGGTGAGGGAGGAAGAGGAGAAACTCACCTGCAGGAGGTCGGATGGTGCAGGAGATGAGAAACTTCAAAAATAAAAGAGGATGTAGGTATATAGGTTAGAAATGCATATTTCAATTTTGCTCAGGCAGGGGTTGGACTGGATGACCTCCAGGGTCCCTCTCAACTCTGTTATTCTGTGTTACATTTCCAGGTGTCAGAAAAATCCCCAAATCCATTTCTCCACCCTGACCTCGACCTACCTAGACGGGGTGGATCTCCCAGGGGTCAGACTTCCTGGCCCAACAAGACCTTCCTCCACCAGAGGACCCCCTTCCTCTCCAGCCCCACAGACTCCCCTTTCCTGCCCTTCAGGGTGAGGGTCAGGCATTGACCAAATCCGCCTCAGTCAATTGCGGAAGGCAGCTCTGCTTGCAACTGCTGAAATCCCGCCAGGAGGAGACCTTTGGCGCCATCAAACTCCCACCTCCGCCTCTCCCGGGTCCTCGGAAGGGCTCGATGGGCGGACACAAAGGCCAAATCCAGGCTGAACAGCTGAACATCCCCCGGCCCCTCCGAGAACCATCTCCTCCAAAGGACCCCTCGGAGGCTCCTCTGCCTGGAGACGGATGACGCTCCCAAAGCTCCATTTTTCATTGGGTGAATCCGATGTTCGACTTTCTGGAAGTCAGAAAGAGAATTCCGCAGCGCTGCTGTTCCCCCCTCTTGATTTCCCCTCCCCCCTCTCCCCCCTCGCTTTTCCCCTCCCCCTCACTCTCCTCCCTCCCCCTAACTCTCCTCCCTCACTCCCTCCCCACTTCCTCCCACCCCCCCCCATTTTCTGTCCTGCTCTGCGTGGGCAGCCTTTCCTCCCTCCTGAGGCAGGACTGGGGGTCGGGCTTCCTCGTGCACCTGAGGCTGGCAGAAAAGGGGGGGAGGCTCCCAGGGGAGGAGCATAAAGAGGAGCTTGGAGACCCCCAATTTCCTCCCTTGCACCCTGAACCTCGGGAAGGTGGGAAAGACTAAAAGGCTACTGTGTTTAGAGGTGGAAGCAAGGACCAAGGAAGGTGAGACCCCCACTCATTTTAACCTTGTCCCCTCTCTCTGGACAAGGGGAATTGGGTTCCACGAGGTCTTCCAAAGGGCAGGAACTGGGAAAGGGGGGAGGGGGAGGAGAGATCCAGGGAGAGGAATGGGAAGGGAATCTTTTGAGGGAGGGGAGTTCGAGGAGGGCCTGGAGCTTCTCCCTCCTTGTCTTGGAGGAGTTTCAGCCTCTACAGCAGCCCAGAGGCTTCCTGGTGGTCTCCCATCCTCAGGCTCACCAGGCCCATCTCTCTCAGCTGGGTGAGGGCATCGGAGGCTGGGCAGCTGCCAACTGTTGAGGGCTGAGGATCAAATGCCAACTAATGGTTGGTGATGCCAGATCAGAGCCCCCACCCTCTCCCAGCTGCAGCAGGCAGACATCCCACAGGGCGCCTATCCTGAGGCGGCCTGGATCCTCTCCTGGGATGGGGGGAGGGGCAGCACCAGCCTCAGCAGGCCAGAACTGGGTCCCCTCCGGCAGCTGAAGGAGGCGGCAGAGTCCGAACCTGCCCCACAATTGTGTGTTTGGACACAGCCAGTCTCACAAAATTGGCCCCAGATCCAGAGAGACTCTGGTGGGATCCCATCGCTCTCCTGATCAAAGCAGAACTTCTGGGCTCTTTTCAGGTTTCCCCTCCCCCACAAGACTTTGGTTCTCTCTTGAGTTCTTCCTGACACCCCCACCCCTCATACACACACACACACACACACACACACACACACACACACACACAGAGCAGCCCTTCTTTCTCCATCCCCCAAGAGCTGCAGAGGCGCTTGGGCTTCGCTTCCCCAGTCTGAAGCTTTGGGCTCCTCCGAAGCGGAACTGAGGACCTGGCCAGGATCCAGCAGGCAACAAGCCTCCATTCTCCCTCAGGGACTCCCCTCCTCCTCCTCCTCCGCCCCATGGCTGAGTCTGCAGGTGGGGCAGCCCCTTGGTCCTCTGCCCCATTGGAGGAGGCTGAAGGGGCCCCTCCCCACCACCTCATTATAGCTCTCTGGTCCTTTTCTCCCTCAGTTAAAGCCCATTGAAGAAAGGAGTCCTTGACTTATAACGGTTCATTTAGTGACTTTTCAAAGTTACAATGGCACCGAAAAAAGTGACTCTTTGCCTAATATTTCTTCTTTTTAAAATATTTTTTATTGCTTTGAATGTTTTTTAATACTTTCATGTAAATACCTGTTTTTATTTTTGTTGTATGCAACACAGAGTCACTTGTTGTGAGATGAGGGGCTACATAAATTTGAGAGAGAAGATGAGAGAGAGAGATTTGATGGATGGATGGATGGATGGATAACCTTATTATTTTGAATATAAGCAGAGACAGTAGAAGCTTATTCGTTCCCATCAGTGTCTTGTCCATTCGTTGCAGCCTCTTTAAATACCTTCCAATTTCTGCCCTTGAAGGAATCTCCCCGTAGAGCCTCCATGGCTTCTGCCGGCCACAGTCTCCCTAGTTCTCTCCTGGGTCCTCCCTGATTAACCTTAAAGGCTTCTCTGCTGACCGGAGCCTCCCAGAGAGAGGATCGGAGGGGCCAGGAGGGGGAGGGGGAGGGGCGGCCTCAAAGGCTCCCTGGGGGTTGGAGAAGGCCCCGTCCAGGGTCTCCCCTCCCCTGGTGGCAAAGGCCCCGTATGGGGGGAGAGGAGGGGGGGCTGCTTTCAAGGCGGCCTCTGGTCTGCTGGGTTTCCCAGGAGCCTCTTTCCTCTTCCACCAGGCCCAGAACCTGCCTCCCAGGTGAGGCCAGGGGAGTCCAAGCCCCCCATGACTCTTGGGGGGAGCTTCCTCCGGGCCTCGGCTAAGTAACAGAAACTTCCATCTCTTTCCTCTGGTTGGTTGGGAGGCTCAGAATATTCCCCCATCCCTCTTTTCCCCCCTTTTATCTCAACCCCAAATGCATTGAAGGAGGTTTTTCTTTCTTCTGTTGAGTTCTGTTGGTTATTTCTTATAATTATTTTTCCCCTGGTGGCCCCAAGACCCCAGATGAGGAAGGGGAGGGGGAAATTCTGCCTCGGTGATGGAGGCCACTGGAGTCCTGCAGAGTCAGTCTGGATGACCTCTGGAGGGGGCGAGGCTCAGTTGGAGGGCTGTCTAGGGGCATCTAGAGGTGCTGGGGAGAAGGGAGGGGTCTTCCACTCAGGGCTGCCCCATTGAACTCTCCCCCTTTTCCCCCCAGAGCAGGTCTTCCCCTCCGTGGCAATGTCTTCTGCACCAGGAACGGCTTCAGATGGATTCCTTGGAGGTCATCTAGTCCAACCTCCTGCTCAGGCCTACACCATTTATACCATCGAGCAGGAGACTCTATACCATTGGAATCTGAGCCCCAAAGAGGGAGGGAGCCATTGGGTGCCAAAATGGGGCAGGACCCTCCAGTTGTGGAGGAGAGAAATGGCTGAAATGGCTGGGTGAATGTAGGGGAGTCTCAGGTGCCCCCCAATGGCTCCCCACAAATGCTCAGGGAGGACCGTGCCTGCTGCCATTCTGCTCCTCCAAAGGGGGCTTGAGGGGAAGCAGAGCAAGGGGGCCTCTGACCAGAAAGGGGGGTCCTGCCCCTTCGCCTCCCTGGATCTGCCCACCCTCCTCCTGAACCAGTTCTGGCTTCGGACCAAAAGTAGCCGGGATGGTGGATCCAGAGGCAGCGGAGGGAGGAGCCTCCTGCGGGGGCAGCAAAAAGGAAGAGGAGGAAGAGGAAGGGAGGATTCCAGGGTTTTCTTACATCTGAAGTTTATTCTTTTATAGCAAAGCGAAGGGAAGGGAAGTGAGTGGGAGGAAGAATAATGTAGATGAAGCTGCTGTGGGTTCAAAGCCAGGAGAGTTGAGGGGTCTAGAGTGACAGGTCCACCTAGCATCCCTGGGGACAGTCTAGATGGTCTCCACCCCTCCCTCAGAAGAAAGGGAGGCCCTGAAAGGAAGCTGGGGTGTATATCTGTGTCTCAGCAGGAGAAGGTCCAGGCTGCCATTCTCCTCCTCCCCACAAAATGCCACCTTCAGCCTCCATTTCTCACAGGTTGCAAACAGGACAAAGAGTCTTCAGCTGTTGAACAAAAAATATGCTTTTGCATCGGAGAGCAGGATTAATTCATGAGTGCTGTAGAAAAAGAGATGGGGAAGAAAATTAGAATATAAAGAGACACTTTTCCTGTAAATAACATATTTTTCTTCCCTTTCATCCCCCACCCCCAAGGCAGACCCACACTGCAGGGGGGTGGTTGACAGGCAGGGACACATAGAGAGAGAATCCGCCCATTTCAGGGAGGAAAAGGCTGGGATGCTTCATAGGAAGAGAGAAGACGGGGCTACGATGAGGGTGGCAGCAAAGGGGGGAGCCTGGGCTCACTTGGCCAGAAATTGTGGGGATTCTCACAAGGAGAAGGGGGGTCAGGAAGAAGAGCCTGTCCAGGTTCCAACTAATGAACCCAAAGGAGTCTGCATGGGGTGCCAAGAAGGATCCTCTCGGACCGGAGGGTGGGGTGCAGTTCAGGGAGAAGTTTTGGAGGGAGTTCATTCAGTTGATAGGTTCATCTCAAGGACTTAGCTCCCCCTTTCATCCAAGTATGAACGGAGCTGCAGAACGAGCGAACGCAATGACAGAACAATACCTGAGATGCTAAGTTCATTATCAGCAATTTAGCTGGGCAGATCTCCTGCCATTTGCTGAAGTGGCCTACAATACTGCAGTGCATAGAAGGGGTGAAATGTAAAATTTTTTACTACTGGTTCTGTGGGCGTGGCTTGGTGGGGGGGAGATGTGACTGGGTGGGCGTGGCCAACTTTTTTTTTTTTTTAAACTTTTCAAAGCATTTTTTTCTACAACCTCTTTGGCCGAAGAGGTTGCAGAAAAAAATGCTTGAAAAGCCTCTGCCAATCAGGCAACTCAGCTGGGATCTTCAGAGGCTTTTCAAAGCATTTTTTTAACCACCTCTTTGGCCAAAGAGGTTATTAAAAAATGCTTTGAAAAGTCTCTGATGATCCCAGCTGAGCCGCATGATCATCAGAGGCTTTTTAAAAAAACTTTTAAAAGCATTTTTTCGGCGGAAGAGGTTGTAGAAAAAATGCTTTTAAAAGTTTAAAAAAAAAGCCTCTGATGATCGTGCCGCTCAGCTGGACATGGGGGGGGGAGGGATTTTCGCTACCGGTTCTCCGAACCACCCACATTGCTAGTGGATTGGGCGATCAGGTCTGAACTGGGAGCATTTCACCCCTGGTGTCACCCCTTTTGAAACAGCCACAGGGTGGAATTTGTCCCCATTCCTGGATACCCTCAGGAACCCCCCTCCACAGTGAGCCTAACAGAATGGGTGGGTTGCTTACAAAATGCGTGGGGGAATGTAAACATGGGGTGCTCCCTCCCCAAGGGAGGAATGGGAAGGAATGGCCCCCACCCTCCATTCCCTTTGGCAATTTCCCAAAACTTGGAAAAATTCTGGGCAAGATCTGTGTGCTTTTGTTTTTGATTGAAATACTTTTTAAGATCTCTGTAAAGAAACATTGCCCCAAATCCAAAAAACTGCTCTATCCACAACAAGGAGATATTGTTCAGGCAAGTTTTTTTTTTTTTTTAAAGGAACAATTAAGGAATTAAAAAAAACACCTATAATTTGTAGGAGAGGTTGAGATGAGGGGGAAGAGGAGAAACTCACCTGCAGGAGGTTGGATGGGAGTTGCTGGAAGGAGAAAAAGACCCAATCAGGACCCTTCATGGGCTGGAGGACTCAGCAGGACCCCCTCCCCATCAATAGCCCATAATAGGTTGTGTGATCTTCACTTATAGCCCCTCCAAGAACAGAAGTTCCCATAAATATTCCTCAAGGGGCCCCTCTTGGCCACCTGCTAAGCTTGAGGAGAGGCCTCCCCTAGAGGGTCCCCTCCCCACAACCTCTCCTCCAGCCCCCCAGACTCACCTTTCTTGCTCTTCAGGTAGGAGAAGAGCCCCACAGCCAGGAAGGCCACTCCTATCACGGCCCCCATGATCCCCGTCCAGAGTTTGCTCCTGGCAGAGCTGGAGGAACGGGGCTCTGGGGAAGGAGAAGGAGCCTCACCTGAGCAGGAGGATCAGGCCCACCTTCCCCCAGGAGGCTCCATTCCAGCTCTCCCCATGGGGTGGGTTTCTCCCCCTTCTCAGGGCAGGAAGGGAGGGAGGGGAGGGAGGGGCTTACCCCACTGGATGGTGATGGGGGCCTCCAGGCTGGCATGCCCCACCTTGCAAGTGTAGACGTCCCCCCGTTGGGGCTGGGTCTCCAGCATCACCTGGAGCTGATAGGTCCAGTCTCCGTTCTGGAGCTCCTCCCCAAAGGCCACGCCCTCCTCCTCCGGCCGCCCGTTCTTCAGCCACTGGACCTCGATCTCCACGGGGTAAAAGCCGGTCGCGGTGCAGAGGAGGATGGTGTTGGGGGAAGAGGGGTCCATCTTGGTGGGGGAGATGGAGACGGTGGGCTTGGCTGGAGGGAAGGAGGGGAAGGAGCCACATGAGAGACACAACAGGAAAGAAAGACGCAGAAGTCGGAAAGGACAGACGCAGCACGAGTCGGATGATTCATGGGATCTCGTTGAAGATGAAACCACACTTTTAATTAGGTGTAATACCTCAACATTTGTTTGTTTGTTTAGTAAATTTAGTTATTTATTAAATTTATTTGCCAAAGTGGCCACAACTAACCCAAAGTCTTACAGACACTCTCCTAGCCGTGACGGCCACCTGCTCTCCGGGAGTCCAGGAGAATCTCCAGAATTGCCAACTGGGTCTCTGGGACAATGCAGCTCCACCCAGAAGGAAGTTGGTTAAAGTCTCCCATCTTGGGGCTCCCAACACCCAAAGCCCTTTGGCCTTTCCAGGGTTCAGCCGAAGCCCCTAATCCCCCACTCAGCCCCTCCCCCCACAGCCTCCAGGACCCTCGAGGGGGCAGCCTCAGCATCTCCTGGGTCCCCAGAGGTGGAGATGAAACCTTATCACATCAGCAGACGGAGGAGACCTCCAGCCCTGGTGACGGATGGCCTCACCCAGCGGCTTCATGCGGAGGTCATAGAGGAGAGGAGAGAGGACGGAGCCAAATGCCTCTGGGCAGCCCTGAAGGTGGTCAACCAAGCTTGCCAAGAGAAAGAAAGAAAGAGAAAGAGAGAGAGAGAGACAGAGAGAAAGAGAGAGACAGAGACAGAGACAGAGACAGAGAGACAGAGAGAAAGAGAGAGAGAGGAGAAAAGAGAGGAGAGGGGAGGGGAGGGGCGGGGAGAGGAGAGGAGAGGAGAGGAGAAGAAAAGAGGAGATGAGAGAAGAGAAGAGAAGAGAAGAGAAGAGAAGAGAAGAGAAGAGAAGAGAAGAGAAGAGAAGAGAAGAGAAGAGAAGAGAAGAGAAGATCTTTGTCTCAATTTTCTTTGGTGTTTCAATCACTTTTCAAAAAGTTTTATTTGGAGAGAGAAAATTTCTCCTTCCACTTTCCCTTTTCTCCCTTTAGGATCCACAAGATGCAGAAATAAACAAAAAAATCAGCAAAAGATTTCAGGGGGAAAAGTGCAAAATGTGATGTGGCTACAAAACCCCCCAATTTTAGGCAGCCTCAACAGAAAGAGGCATTTTGAAGGAAAGGGCAAAGGAGCCCAATGGGGGGGGGGCAGCCCTTTGCTCCCCATAACTGCCAGAATCCCCTGAAGGAAAAGTTTCTCCTCCCATTGAAGATGAGAGACCCTGAATCCCCCCTTCAGAGCAGGAAGGACAGAAGAGGTTTTGGGGGATCTCATGATCTCTCTCGAGGATCCTTCCTGGGGGGGGGGGCTTTGGGGGGATTCAGAGGGAGACCCACCCCAGACCAGGCTCTGTCTGCACCCAGCCGGCCTCCTTCCCAGCCGCAGGGACCGGCCATTCCTGGGGAAGGAGGTGGGGAGGGGTCCCTCTGACTCCCCGAGGGAAGCTTCTGCCCTGGATGAGGGGGGCAGGGAGTGGGGAAGGGATCCAGAGGGGATCTGGGATCTTGATCTCCTCCTTCAGCAAATGCTCCAACTGGCACAACTCTTGGATGGATTAATGGGGGGGGGTGTTAGTCTGGATGAGCCCCCCAAGAGAGTTGACAATAGATCCACTCCAGCCCAGAGTCCTTTGCTAAGCATTTTTTTTTCTCTTGAGGGATTTTCTTATTAACAGTAAATTCTATAATTTAATTTAATTCTATAATATAAAAGATTTTAATTGGATCGGAAAAAGGTTTTTTTTTCCTTTTAAATACCTACCCAGGGACACAACTTTCTCCCTCGGCCCTTCCAGGAACTCAATTTAATAGACAAATAGAGACCTCTTGATTTAAAACAGCAGGAGGACAAAGTACATTTTAGCTGCTCCACATCATGAAAATTCCCCCAAAAGGACTCAAGAAACATCCTGTGATTTCAGGCCTCCTAAAGTGAAGCCTGACCAACAATTGGCTTTAAATACATGGATTTTAATAAATATTCCTGTTCTTTCAATAAATGGAGAATTATTGGCCTCTTGTCTGAATTATTTTCATGGAAGTAAAAATAATACTTTTGATGAAGACGAAATTATATGAATCACAATGAAATTCAGGATCACCATTTTGGATTTATAATAAAAATGCATTCTATTTATGTGGATAAAGCTTGTGAGGAGCTAAAGGTTTTTCACAAACTATCCAGACAGAGATTTTTGTCCTGTCCCTGAACCAGGAAGGGAGGGAGGAAGGAGGGGAGGGAGGAAAAGAGGAGGGGAGGATGGGCTTTGGAGTCTTTGGGCAGCTGATGAAGCTCCTTTCCCTGAAGGGAAAATCCCCCCAGAGACCCCCAAATGGAGGGAGGAGGGAGGGAGGCCCTGAGAGGCCCACAAAAGAGACACACTCACAACACCAACACAATTGGCACTTGGGGCACTTTCGGAGGTTATGAAAAATCACTAGATAAGTGAATAAAAGTGGTGAAATCTCTATGTGAAATATTATTGGAATGAGAATTATTTCAAGTACTGTGCCAGATGACGAGAACGTTGTGCTGTTTGTAGGGGAAAAAAACTTTAAACATTGTCCAGAAACAAATTATATAGTTGAATATTATTATCTCCATGAAAATATCCTCTTTGGTAGGAAAAACATTTCCAAATGCATCTTATGTGGCAGGTAAAATCCTCCCAGGTTTGCAGGAAAGAATTTAGGAGTGAAAATGAGTTTTGCCTCCAGACTGAATATGTGGAGAGCAAAATCTCTGTTGGTTCCTCTAAAATATTCAATTATTTACCAAAGGAGTAAATGCTCCAAGAGGCTTTTCTCTCTTAGGATCTGGAGGTTTTCCTCTTATGAAGGAAAGATGTTAATGGATTCTATGGTGAGACGTTATTTTTGGAGAATCTCTGGAGTTAAACTTAACCAGTTCTTAAGTAATGATGATCTCTGATTAGAATAAAGGAATATAATTTTTCTGTAAAGGCCGAATGGCAACAAGGGCAGCTAAAATCCTTGATTGGCCTCTGAAACCCCATCAGTCCATAGAAATATAGAAGATTTTTATTAGACAAAGAAATAAAAGGAGAAAAAGAAATGTAGGCAACATTGAAGGAATCTGGAAGAGAGAAGGAAAGAATCTGAGGCTTCAGGGCTGAATGGAGGCCCAATTTCTTTCTTATGACCCCAAATTCAGTTTTAAGGCTTGTGGGTGTTTTTGGACTCTCCCCCCAAATCAGGAGCCTCCCCAGGAAGGAAGAACGGAAGAGATCAGGGTTCCTATTATTGGGGGTTTTACATCTCGGTTTAAGCATTGAATCGTGATGACAAATTCTAGGCTGCTTCCGTTACTCATTTCTTTCTTTATTGGATTTCAAAGCTGCAGGACTGGAAATGACTCTGAATGAAGAAAGAAGAAAGAAAAGCAGAAGATCCATAGAAAGGGATTGACAGGTGAAAAAGCATCCGCTAATTCTTTTTTTTTGTTTTGGGTAAAAAATAAGTTTTTATCCCAAAGTGCCCAAAAGCAGCATTTCTGGAGCAGAGGAAGAGAGGGAGGGGCTTCTGGGTGGGAAGAGGGAGGGAGACGGGAGGTTCCTGAATAGGATAGAAATGAATCAGGGATAGAGAGAAATATATATGTAGATACAGGGAGTCCTCGACTTAGGACCACAATTGAGCCCAAGATTTCTGTTGCTAAGTGAGACCTTTGTTCAATAAATTTTGCCCCATGTTACGACCTTTCTTGCCACAGTCATGAAGTGAATCACTGCAGTTGTTAAATGAGTAACAGGGTTGTTAAGTGAATCCGGCTTCCCCACGGACTTTAGTTTAGTTTAGTTTAGTTTATTGGATTTATATACTGACCAGCCACAAAATAAAACACATAAATACAAAAATTTAAAAGCAGAATAAAACCGAATTAAACAATTTGGCCCAAGAACAGATTTAAAACAGGCCAGTAATTTAAAACAGATTTAGATTTACATTAAAAAGAAAAAAGGGGGAAAAGATTAGGCCAGGCCAGCTTGATGGAATAGAGAGGTCTTGAGAGCGCGACGGAAGGTGCGCAGATCCGGGATCCTCCGTATCTCCGGGGGGAGCTCGTTCCAGATAGTAGGTGCCCCCACAGAGAAGGCCCTCCCCCTGGGGGCTGCCAGTCGACATTGTTTGGCCGACGACTTTGCTTATGGGAAGGTCGCAAAAGGGGATCAGGTGAACCTGGGACGCTGTGACTGTCACAAGAAAGAGTCCGATGCCAAGTATCTGGATTTTGATCACATGACCCTGGGGAGGCTGCAACGGTCGTAAGTGTGAAAAACAGTCATAAGTCATTTTTCCCCACTTCTGTTGTAACTTTCAATGGTCATTAAACGAACTCTTGTTAAGTGGAGGACTGCCTCTATTGAGCAGGGGAGAGAGAGAGAGAGAGAGACAGCTGGCTGGATTCCCCCCACCAGCCCCCCCCCCAAAATATATCTGGATGGATTTTCTTGGGGGGGGGGAAATGGATCGAAGGGATCCCAGATTCCAGACAGGAGGAGAGTTTGGAGCCTGGGAAGAAGATTTTGTCCATCTGAGAGTGCAGAATAAATAAATAAATGAGGAGCAAAACCTCCATCCGGGAGGATCCCAAGGAATGAAAGGAAAGGAAAGGGGGGTCCCGGCATCCCCCTCCCTCCCTCCCCCCCAGACTCACTTCTCCGGCCAATCGCCCGCTCCTCCCTCTTGGGCGCCTGGTAGCTGTTCACCCGGTAGTTGTGCCGGCAGAGGCGATCCACTTCGGCCTTCATGAGCTGCAGGAGCTGCTCATCTCTGTTCCACCTGTCCACAGCGGGCTGCCCCAGCGGCGTGACGGCCACGAACTTCCCGAGGTCGCTGTCGAAGCGGTCGATCTCCTGCCGGTCGTAGAAGCGCCTGAACAGGTATCTCACCCGCTGCGTCCCGTTGAGGAAGAGGCACTCGGCCTTCCTCTGGTGCAGGAAATGGGCTGCGAGGGGGAGAAGGAGGAAGGCTGTCAGGAGGGACCCAGGGCCCATCAGCCACTGGGAGAGGAGGGGGGATCTATGTGGTAAGGGGGAGGGGTGGGGGACCTTCCGAGAGAGACTGGTGGAAGACGCCCCCTGGAGGAGGGAGCGGGAACTCTCAGTCCCAGAGAGGAAGGGAGGCTTCCTGGGGGGGTCTGGAGGGGGGAGGGGAGGAAAAAGAGGGAGGGGTGGGAAAAGGCAGGCAGAAGCTCAACCGGTCCAGCAATCCCATTCAGTCTCTGCAGGGAAGGTTGGATCTCAAGGGGCAGGAATTGGGGGGGGGGCTGGAGGGAAAGTAGCTTCCATCCCCCCACTCTCTTCCTTTGGGAGGGGATCTGGGGAGGGGGCACAATGAGGACATCTAGACCGACTCTCCCGGGGTCTCCCCCCTTTCTCCTTCCCCCGAATCTTCAGCCCAGCTCCCTCCCTTTGGGGGACTCCTGATTCCTCTCCCCCTCCCCAAAAAGAGCCTCTCAAAGGGAGGGTCTCCCGCCCCTCCTTCTCCCGCCCCTCCTTCCCCCCCTTCACGTGGATTATGGGGGTTCTTGGTCTCCTCCCCAAATTCAGGGTCTCCCCCAGAAGGGCCCGAAGCCCCCCTCTTGCCTGACCTTCACAGCCTCAAAGTTGAGATTGAGAAGAAAAAGTGAAGTTTCTGAAGAAGCCCAAAGACTTTTGCTCAAATGCCTTTTTTCCCTTCTGGGGATTCAGGGCTGAAAATGCCTCAGTTTCCCTCTTTCGCTTTTCCTCCCTTCCTCTTTCCCTGCAGCCCCCTCCCACCCAGGCACAGGAGAGGCTGCGACCCCCACCTGGGCTACATGGGGGAAGGGTTAGGATTAGGGTCCCTCTCCGTCCTCCTGGGGGGGGGCTGTGGGGAGGAAGGGGGAGGAGACCACGCAGAGATGGAGGCTGCTGGAGGCTTCCTTCCCCCTTCCCAGCCCCCTCCTCCCCCGCCCAGCCCCCTCCTTACCGGGGTCTCCTCCCCCCCTTCGCTCCCGGGGATCCGGGCCAGCGCCCCCAGCAGCAGCATCAGGGGGAGCCCAGCCAAAGCCATGGAGGCTCCCCACAAGCGCCCCAAAGGGGGGAGAAAGACGCTCCCAGCCCCACAGGAGGAATCGGAGGGTCTGGAGGGGGGGAGGAGTTTTCCTCGGACTTCGGAAGAGGGAGAGTCCAGAAAGAGCAGGAGGACCAATGGGAATCCTCCCTTCTGCAGCGTCATCGGTCTCCGGGCAGAGCCTCCCTTGACTTCACCCGATGCAGGAGATGGTTCTGCGCAGAGAGAGAAGCGGAGGGGAGCGTGGACTTCCTTTTCCCACCCACCCAGGATTCTCCTCCAATCCGCCTTTGGGCGCCTGGAGATTCCTCCGCATTAAATCTCTTTAGTTGCACCTTCCAATTTTGGGTTTCATCCCATGAAGTTTTGGTGATTGCAGCAATGTCACACCTGCCTTTGGGCTCCACCTTCACCCCGTTTATTCCTCGTACTATGAACATCCGTGCAGAGGCATCTGAGTCCCTTTTTGACTGACCCCATATTTGCTTTCTACATCTCCTGCTCTGTCTCCGAGTTTCCCTTCTTTCTTTCCATTCGGTTGATTCCCCTGAGATTTGAGCTTGGAATTTGCTTCTAAAACTTTGTCTCCCTCTCACTTCGGTCTCACTTTCAAGCCCTTCGGATGAGGCGAGCCGGTTGGTGTCCAAAGCCGACCTTCTGGGTTCTTCTGAGGGGCAGCTCATCAACTGCCAGAAGCCCCCCATGTGGCTGTTGTGGACCATGGTCCAAGAATCCCAATTCCTCTCAAGAGAACCATCCCCTAAGCCAGGCTTGACTTCCCTCCTTGGATGGTTCCCTTTATTGGGAGAGTGGAAGAGAAATCCCCCTGTGCCCCCAACTCTTTGGCTCCCTTGCCCACCTGCTCCGAGTCTCTTGGCATCGTTTCCAGGGACTTTTTCATTCCTCCCAGCATGATAGAGGAAAAAGGGATCATACTCTGTGGGGTTCATTATTTCTGTAAGCCCCTCAGTCACGTCTTTGATAGCTGCTCCTGGGAAACAACCAACCCCCTTAGTTTGATTGTCCGTCTTAGAAACGGCTGTTTCAGTTCCCCTAAGTAATGAATCAACACAAGACTTTCTTTTTTTCTTAAGGAGGTCCGGTCTAATTTTTCCCCCCTGCCATTGGTACATTTGGTGTTGTCCCTTCTCCAGGTTCTTACACACTGTCTTGCAAGGGGAGGCATTGCTCAAAGGAGCCCAAATCTTCTCAGGCAATTTCAGGCAATTCCTACAATGACACTCCGATCTATGTTTCCCCTGGTGGCCCCAAGACCCCAGATGAGGAAGGGGAGGGGGAAATTCTGCCTCGGTGATGGAGGCCACTCCGCAAGTCAGTCTGGATGACCTCTGGAGAGGGCGAGGCTCAGTTGGAGGGCTGTCTAGGGGCATCTAGAGGTGCTGGGGAGAAGGGAGGGGTCTTCCACTCAGGGTTGCCCCATTGAACTCCCCCCTTTTTCCCACAGAACATGTCTTCCCTCCGTGGCAATGTCTTCTACACCAGGAACGGCTTCAGATGGATTCCTTGGAGGTCATCTAGTCCAACCTCCTGCTCAGGCCTACACCATTTATACCATCGAGCAGGAGACTCTATACCATTTGAATCTGAGCCCCAAAAAGGGAGGGAGCCATTGGGTGCCAAAATGGGGCAGGACCCTCCAGTTGTGAAGGAGAGAAATGGATGAAATGGCTGGATGAATGTAGGGGAGTCTCGGGTGCCCCCCAATGGCTCCCCACAAATGCTCAGGGAGGACCGTGCCTGCTGCCATTCTGCTCCTCCAAAGGGGGCTTGAGGGGAAGCAGAGCAAGGGGGCCTCTGAGCAGAAAGGGGGGTCCTGCCCCTTTGCCTCCCCCGATCTGCCCACCCTCCTCCTGAACCAGTTCTAGCTTCCGACCAAAAGTAGCCAGGTATGGTGGATCCAGAGGCAGCGGAGGGAGGAGCCTCCTGTGGGGACAGCAAAAAGGAAGAGGAGGAAGAGGAAGGGAGGATTCCAGGGTTTTCTTACATCTGAAGTTTATTCTTTTATAGCAAAGCGAAGGGAAGGGAAGTGAGTGGGAGGAAGAATGATGTAGATGAAGCTGCTGTGGGTTCAAAGCCAGGAGAGTTGAGGGGTCTGGAGTGACAGGTCCACCTAGCATCCCTGGGGACAGTCTAGATGGTCTCCACCCCTCCCTCACAAGAAAGAGCGGCCCTGAAAGGAAGCTGGGGTGTATATGTGTGTCTCAGCAGGAGAAGGTCCAGGCTGCCATTCTCCTCCTCCCCCCAACCTGCCACCTTCAGACTCCATTTCTCACAGGTTGCAAACAGGACAAAGAGTCTTCAGCTGTTAAATAAAAAATATGCTTTTGCATCGGAGAGCAGGATTAATTCATGAGTGCTGTAGAAAAAGAGATGGGGAAGAAAATCAGAATATAAAGAGACACTTTTCCTGCAAATAATATATTCTTCTTCCCTTTCATCCCCCACCCCCAAGGCAGACCCACACTGCAGGGGGGTGGTTGACAGGCAGGGACACATAGAGGGAGAATCTGCCCATTTCAGGGAGGAAAAGGCTGGGATGCTTCATAGGAAGAAAGAAGACGGGGCTACGATGGGGGTGGCAGCAAAGGGGGGAGCCTGGGCTCACTTGGCCAGAAATTGTGGGAATCCTCACAAGGAGAAGGGGGGTCAGGAAGAAGAGCCTGTCCAGGTTCCAACTAATGAACCCAAAGGAGTCTGCATGGGGAGCCAAGAAGGATCCTCTCGGACCAGAGGGGGGAGGGGGTGCAGTTCAGGGCGAAGTTTTGGAGGGAGTTCATTCAGTTGATAGGATCATCTCAAGGGCTTAGCTCCACCTCCCACCCGAGTACGAATGGAGGTATAGAACGAGCGAACGCAATGACAGAACAATACCTGAGATGCTATGTTCATTATCAGCAATTTAGCTGGGCAGATCTCCTGCCATTTGCTGAAGTGGCCTACAATACCGCAGTGCATAGTAGGGGTGAAATGTAAAATTTGTTACTACTGGTTCTGTGGGCATGGCTTGGTGGGGGTGTGTGACTGGGTGGGCGTGGCCTAACAGAATGGGTGGGTTGCTTACAAAATGCGTGGGGGAATTTAAACCTGGGATGCTCCCTCCCCAAGGGAAGAATGGGAAGGAATGCCCCCCCTTCCCTTCCCTTCCCTTCCCTTTTGCAATTTCCCAAAACTTGGAAAAATTCTGGGCAAGATTTTAGCGTTTCTGTGTGCTTTTGTTTTTGATTGCAATACATTTTCAGATCTCTGTAATGAAACATTGCCCAAAATCCAAAAAACTGCTCTTATCCACAACAAGGAGATATTGTTCAGGCAAGTTTTTTTTTTTTTTTTTAAAAAGGAACAATTGAGGAATTTTAAAAGCCACCTATAACTCTTAGGAGGGGTTGAGATGAGGGGGAAGAGGAGAAACTCACCTGCAGGAGGTTGGATGGGAGTTGCTGGAAGGAGAAAAAGACCCAATCAGGACCCTTCGTGGGCTGGAGGACTCAGCGGGACCCCCTCCCCATTGATAGCCCATAATAGGTTGTGTGATCTTCACTTATAAGCCCCTCAAACAAGAGAAGCTGCCAAAAATATTCCTCAAGGGGCCCCTCTTGGCCACCTGCTAAGCTTGATGAGAGGCCTCCCCTAGAGGGTCCCCTCCCCACAACCTCCCCTCCAGCCCCCCAGACTCACCTTTCTTGCTCTTCAGGTAGGAGAAGAGCCCCACAGCCAGGAAGGCCACTCCTATCACGGCCCCCATGATCCCTGTCCAGAGTTTGCTCCTGGCAGAGCTGGAGGAACGGGGCTCTGGGGAAGGAGAAGGAGCCTCACCTGAGCAGGAGGATCAGGCCCACCTTCCCCCAGGAGGGTCCATTCTGTCTCCCCCCACAGGGAGGGTCTCTCCCCTTC